AAATATGAAGTGTGCAAATCATTACGCAAGATAACAATATATTCAATATTGAAAACATAAGCTCATGAGTTTAAATACAACAACAAGGTAGAACTTTAATTAAATCATGCTAAGTTAAATCCCAAGGTTCTAAAACAACTTCAAATAGTCCCAAATTAATATATACTAGTAAACAAGTCATGGCCAATACAAATATTAAGTTAAAACCTTAATTAAGCTAATGGGACCACAAAATAGATTTTAATTAATTCTTTTAATTAAAATCTCTTAATTTTCAAACTTAACCAAATGCTCTCAAATTAACCAATGTTGGAAAACATGCCAAGAACTAATGTAATATCACATTACAAGTTTATTTCATTCAATTTAAGACCATGTGAATTAAACTTTCACTAAAGTTAAATATAAATTAAAAGTTGCAATTCTCATGCAATTAATCCCAATTTAATATATGTGAACAACTATACCTAAGCTTAATTTTCTAGCATGCCACAATACAATTCTAAGTTATATATCACCATGAGGATTAAATCTTAAACATGGAATTTAATTAAATAAAAGGTTTCAAAACCAAACCGAATATTCTAAATCAAATATATGTGAAGCTATATGACATGTAAATCAAGAATATCAAGTCAGAATTCAAATAGAGTGAATAGTGCACTCGGGGCAAATTAATTAATTAAATTAATTAATAATTACTAATTTTCAAAACACCTCCAATTACTTTCAAATTCAACTACGTTGGAGAGCATGCTAAGGCCTAATTTAATATGCAAACACATATTGATTTTGAGCTAGTTAAGGCCACATGATTTTATATTTTATTCAAGATAAAAATTAAATAAAATCTTCAATATTTGTTCAAATTCCCTCAATTTAATATATGTCATTGACCACATTATAGAGCATTATATTACCATGCTACATGTTTAAAACAAGTCATAAGCAACTGGAAAAATCAAATCCAATACAAGAAAATTAAATAATAAAATCTCTAGATTTCATATTTAAGCATGCAATCAAGTTGTATAAGTATCAATAGCATGTTATATAACAAGAATTAAACCTATAACACCTCCTACCTCAATTTGGGATGAAAATCCCAAATCCCCACCGAATTGAAATGGCTCCGAATCCGACGAAACTCCTAAGTTTTGTCGGGGGTAACACGATCTATATGAATCTCCAAGAAGCCCCATGAAAATCCAAACTTGACTCTTAATCCAAACTCAAGAAATGGTAGGAAATGAATTCTAATAAGGGGGAATGGTAGAACACGTCGAGGGGAGCGATAAACGTAAAGGCCGAAGAGATTTCACTTAGGAAATCAAGTGGAGGAGAAGGTCAAAGGGTGGCAGCCAAGGAGCTTCCATGGCTGCCGGCCAAGAGGTGGAGAAGAAGAGTAGAAATCTGATTTTTCACTTTAGGGCATCCTATTTATTGTAAGTCTCAAAAACTGCAAGGCCCCGCCTAGTCTGGAAAAGTGGATTTTGAGCAGACGTGATCAAACAGAAAAAATCCATGAACGAAAAGGATTCAAAATGAGAAAATATGAACGACGGAAGAAACGGTGTCGAAAGCTGAGTCCCGAATAGAAAGTTATGCCCTGAACAAGTTCGGCAGCAACCGGGTCCCGAAACTCTGAAACTGGAGAAAAACGACCAAAACGGAATTCTAAGAGTCCATGACTCGACAAAATGTGAAAATGAATCCCGTACGAGGATCCAGGCTCCAGACGAGACATTTTGCAATAACTTTCATTAATTGCACAATGACCCTTACAAAAAGGGTTAACTGCGAAACTGCCCCAGAATGAAAATATCTTCCAAAAGATATTTTCTTAGATACCCCTGAAATAAAATATCTTTAAAAGATATTTACGAAAAACACCCCAAGAAATGAAAAAGATTCTAAAGAATTATGCATCCATACCCCTGTGGGCACCGGGAGCAACCAGAGTACTTTATTGAAAAAGTAAAGATACGTATTTCGAGAAAACCACTTAAGATGAAGGCGCGTGAAGTCAAAAACCAACTCCGAGCATGAGAAGTGAGGTTGTACCAAAAACTGACAAACGGAGATAAGACGAAATAGGGAAAATGACAGAATAGGGAAAATAAGAAATAGCGCATAGTGTCCGAAAAACAAAAAATGCGAAAATTACTCGGTCATAAAATGAAGTTGTCAATTCACATGAAAAAGTCTCATAAACCAATTCTGAGCACTCGAGATGACACTAAGCGACACGAAACAGAGCTCAGAAAAGAAAATTAAACGAAACAAATTCATTCGTAAAGTTTCAGGAAAAAGGAAAGGAAGGCAAATGACTAGGTCGTTACAAAATTCAGCCAATTTATCTCACTTCATTATTTTTCATGCAATTTTCATTCAGCCAGTTCTTTTAAAGTCTATTTCTATTCAGCAGTCTTCCTTTAAAGTCAATTTAAATTCAGCTAGTTCATCTAAATTACTTTATTTTAAATTGTATTTTTATTCTTTTAATACTATTATAAAAGTCCTTGCAAACAAGGCAAAAAAAGAACCTCGCTGGGAGTTCTTACTATTCTCTCTCCCACACATTTGCCTGAAGTCAGCCACCAACCAAAATGGATAGTTAGTGTTCAATCATATTTGGAGTATTTACATACTCTGGCATGCCCGCAAACTCCTTTGGCCAGTGTGAGCACAATATATCTGATTTTGAGCATGATTGGTTCAATTTATTTTGTGGATGGAATATGTGTTATCTTGGATACTAGTCTTTGGTTCCATTGCTACTATATATCATCATGTTTTTGTGCTTCTTGCCATTATACATGGATTTTTGTCTCTCTTCATGTTAATTCTCTCTTATTATTTCTTTTCCTTCCTTGTTAAGCTTTATTTGTCAATTTATAACAAAAAATGGGCAAAAGTGTTCATATTTGAGGAGGAGAGTTTCTAGAATTGAGGGGGAGACATATACATTGATATATTTACATATTGATATATATGTTGATTGTCTATCTTTCTTGATTAAGCTTCATGCGTAGTTTTGTTAAGCTGATGTGCATATTATAGGGGAAGAAAACTACAAGTGATGAAGCCTCATATGATTCAAGAAGTGTTCCGTTTTATGTCTATTTTTGGACAATTAATGTAATTTACTTTTTCTGTTTGGGTAGATTACTTGTGGTCTTATGGGTTTTGTCACAAAATTGCCAAAGGAGGATATTGTGTGATATAATTTTCATAATTGGGTAATTTCGGTATCAAAACGATTTCGATCAAGTTATAATTTTCAAGTTACCATAACAAGATCGAGATCGGCTACAGAATTGGAAAGTTGTTTAAGTTTGTTAAACTATGATCTACGAAAAAGGTATGAACAACGCTTTGGGAAGTTGTTTCCCACTTAGGACACTATACATACATGGTATGTTTCTTTAAAGTTTGTAAAACAGAATTTTTTCAAACTGTTAAACCTTTCCTTAAAGTTTAGGATTTTAGTTTCCTGTTTTGTCTAAACTTCCTATTTGGTATAGATTTCCTTCCAAAATCCTATGCATGAAAATTACCTTTTCCTATGCATATATAGGTCAATGGAATTCTATATAAACCTTGATTTATATCTAGGTTAGTATGACTTTTGCGTTACATCTTTTGATTCTTAAAAAGCCTTTCTAAGAGATATTTTGCAGAAAATCAAATCTGATTTTTTTGTCTATATTTCTTGAACACGCACATAAACACGAGTGATTTTAAAGTATTTGTTCAAAACGTGATCGTATTAAAAGTTTATTGAATATTGCATCTACAACGATTAGAGAAGCAGATCTATTTATTTTTATCAAAGTTCAAATCTTAAAGAACAGGGATAAAGCGATTACACTTTGAAAGAGTCAAAGCATTCGTGGAGTGTTGTTTGATCTACCTGCAACTCTTCTACAAAGATCAAGAGTAAGGCTAAAGTCGAGAGCTGTTGGACGGGGGAGTCGCAAAGCCAGGGATTGTCAGCGATTGGTTTTTGGTACAACGATAGGGTGTGAGCCTGAGTCAAAGTTGAGGGTACTTTATTTCAAACATAGTGGATCGTTTTGTTTTGAACTGTACAGTTCACCAGGTTTTTTCCACAACAATTGGTCTATTTTATCAATTGGGGTTTCCTCGCTAAAAATCCTAATGTCATATTTCAAACTTTGTTTATTTTACTTGCACTTTAATTTTGCTTTGTGAATTTAATTTTACTTTTATTTCGGTAAAATTAAAATAAGTAAAATTGGATAAATGAGCAAGTTAAATCTATTTATCATTCTTCTTATCTATATTATATTTCACAACCATTTCGCTACGCACATCTTATAGTATAGTTATCATGAAATGGGCTGGTTTATTACGAATTGTGAGTAGGACATCTTCGTGCTGATCCTGATTAATTAATCACAACATATGGCCGGCCACAGACTGTGGTTTAATCTAATAATTAAATTTAATATTATAAGGATATCTCGTTAGTTTGAGTGTTCATTTTATCAAAGGTTGCATAGCATATATATATATATATGTCGTCTTTTTCTTCGGATGAATTGAAGCCGAAAAGGAACAAAAGGTGATTATGGCCCCGCGATGCAAGGGAGGCAAAAGATTATATACAAGGGTTGCAGAAAGAAACCTTCAAGATCATTTTTCCGGCGAGCTTCATGTTTTGCTTTCGCTATCATGGTGTACATTGAGGATGCAAATCGTTGTCTTAAACGTCTCAATCAGTCTATTCTAGATGGCTGTAATGTTGGCGCTACATAAAAAAGTAAGCTTTATATGCCAGTTGTTTTGGCGTATCTACAACTGAAGTTGACATATTGCATTTTAAAAAGCATATGCTAAGCCGAGCTGTAATTGGGGTGTCTAGGCATTAGTATATAGTAGAACATTAGGTAATGTTTGTATGAACATTAATTGGCTGTCGCAAAATTGAGACCAGATACTGCTTGAATTAGTGGCATGATTGAGGTGTCTTTTATATTTCAGATCACTTTATTCAATTTCAGTTGCAGGCTTCAACTGATTTTTGACTAATCAAGAAAACCTATAATGAAATTCAGCCAACATACGAACCTAACTAACCATTTTGTTATACATAGAGAGAGGAGGGGGTCTTTGTATTAGATGCTTTAGGCAATAAACGTCTCAATCTTCTAGTGATTGAGCCGGCCCTGCAAACAGACGAGTCCTGCAGTGAGTGTTTCCTTTGGCTTGATTTGTTCCATATATTCTACCTATCAAAACTGTGAATAATTTCGTCGAAGAAAAGACAATACCTCAATGTTCATATCTAAAACAAACATTACTTCCGATGTCCGGCCTCTCAAAAAGAGACAAGAAGTTATATACTCTTTGAATCCATGCACAAAAAATAAATGAAGTAAAAGGTTGTATATATAAAGCCATACACCAAATTAGAAATTCAAACTCTGCAACCCTTTTTGAAGAAAAAACTCAAGTTGCAAGACCCTTTCAATGTCCAAGGGAAGGTATAAATTAATCTATGTTTAATGTTCTATCGATCTTAATTAACTAGGCTAGCTTCGGCTTAATATAGTCTTGCTTAATATTTTTCAGGTTAGAAGGTAAGGTTGCAATAATTACAGGGGCAGCCAGTGGCATAGGTGAGGCCACTGCAAAGCTATTTGCAGAGAATGGAGCTTTTGTTGTTATTGCTGATATTCAAGACAAATTGGGACTTCAAGTTGTTGCTTCAATAGGTCCAGAGAAAGCTACTTATAAGCACTGTGACATGAGAGATGAAAAGCAAGTGGAGGAAGCTGTGGAGTACACCATACACAAGTACGGCACACTTGATATAATACTTAGTAATGCTGGAATCATGGGTCCTCTGGTTAGCATCCTGGACATGGATATGGAGGGGTTTGACAATACCATTGCCATAAATTTACGTGGTTCAGCCTTAGCAATCAAGTATGCAGCTCAAGCCATGGTTGCAAAGAATATACGCGGCTCAATCATTTGCACAGGTAGCATGGCAGCAACTCTAGGTGGCTGCGGTCCCTATGCTTACACAGCTTCTAAGCATGCTGTAATAGGCCTGGTTCGATCAGCTGCAAGTGAACTTGGGAAGCATGGGATTAGGGTCAACTGTGTTTCCCCTTTTGGTGTTGCCACGGCAATGGCATGTGGGGTGAAAAATGGGGAACCATGTGGTATTGAGGCCGCGACTTCTGCCATGTCTAGTCTAAAGGGAATTGTGTTGAAGGTTAAGCACGTTGCAGAGGCAATCCTTTTCCTTGCTTCAGATGAATCCCTTTATGTAACTGGACATAATTTAGCTGTTGATGGGGGATTTAGCGTTATTAATGATATTATGGCAAGGGTAAGGCAATGATGTGTTGATTTTGTGCAGTTTTAGACTGCAATACAATGTTCTTGCAACTTCAAACAGTTGGGAATAAAACAAGTTGTTCATCGATGTGCAATACATCTTAGACTAATCATGATTAATGCGAAGTTATATAATATGCACAATTTGCACTGAAAGGACAAGGACTTGTTCAAGTAGCCGTTTAAATCGAATGATAGTATTTAATTTCATAGAAAACCTGATTGAGAACAACAGCTGACAGAATGGATTTAATCCAGATGAACTAAGTAGAAAATTAAATAAAAAACAATGATTAAATTAGAGAGAGAAAATAAGAGAGAGGAAACTAGGGATATGACTTCACCATTAACATGGCACCACCAATCAATTGCATCAGTTTATTAGATATATATAAAACATGCATAAGGAATTAATCATTGCTAAAAGCACGTATTAATTTAGTTAGAAGAAGGTGTAGTATGGTCTATCTTTTCTAGGCATAATTCATCAAATCCCTACTATTATATTTAGTGAAAAGCTATTGCATAACAATCGTATTCACAACTACAAGAAGTAAATAAGTTGTGTTCAATCATAAGATTTAAATATCTAAGACAAGATAGAAAAATACTTTGTAATTGAATTAAAATTTTGAAACCGAATTTTATTGAAAAGTCAAGTAAAAATCCTATTGTTAACACAATCATGCATGAAAATAATTGTTCTCTAATAAATAAATATAATAAAACCAATGGTGCTAAGCTAGGGCTACGTCATAGCCCTAGCAAAGCTTTTAGCCAAATATGACTAGAATAGACTTCTTCATGGTTGAAGAAGACATCTTCACCGCTATAAATCGATCATTCTTTCTTCTGAATGCTTCTCCTCTGGTCTCAGCCTCTAGCTCCTTTGTATGATGCTCCTAATGGTGTAGAGAACTCCATTTAAATAAGAGAAGATCAGCCCCAAAGTTCCATTTTTCATTATAAGACATATATGGAAATTCTGCCAAATAAGGATTACAAAATTCGTATAGACTCCAGCCCAGTTTTGATAAGGTAAGCTGTTGTTTTATTGTAATAAGGATTTATTAATTGGAATTAATTACTTTTATTTTATTTTTAAATAATTTATTTGATTCAATTTGAATTAATTGCGTTTATTTTAATTTTTAATTGATTTGTTTTATTGAGTGCTTAGATTAATTATTTTATTTTATTTATATTTCATGAATTATTGATATGATGATTGTTGTGTGTGCGCTTAATTATTGATTGAATTGTTGGCTTGTTAATTTTATTAGTATGGCATGACTTAGTTGTAATTTATTGTTTTGTTTGTGTGCTTAGTGTATTTAGTTTTTTTAAATTTAAGTGTTTATTTAATTATTTTATTTATTTAAATTAATTGGATTGGGTTTAAGGAAAGTTGAATCAAAGGATATAGTCTTGGGCTTGAATGAAGCCTTATTGGGTTAATTAATAAAGCCCATGGTTTTATGATTATTTAAATTATCATTTTTTGTATAATTATAAATATATATTTAATTATACATAAATATAATTAATTAATAAGTATTATGGAAGACTATATATATAGATATATATATATTTATGGATATATATAGGTATATATGATTTAATTAATTAATAATTATTTATGGAATATAATATGCGTAAATATATTATATATAATATGTGTGTCTAGATATATATATTAGTTAATGATTATTAGTTTCATTTTATTTAATAGTTATTATTGGAATAGGATTAGGTATCAATGTGTATATATATACAGTTAAGGTTTTATCGATAAGAATTTGTCACGTTAGAAAAATAAGAGAGGCGGAGAAAGAAGAAAAGATGGCTGACAAGGAGGATGCCGGATCTGAGAAAGAGGATGCTAGAATTGGAAGAAACAATCAAGGCTTGAAGCGTTGGTTTCGTTAGGAAACCTTCAGGCGAGTTTTCTCTATTTTTCCTCTTAGAACCCATAAGGATTTCACCTTGAGTATTATGGCTTTAATTAAATTATTAATTTGGATTAATTAAAAGCATCAAGTTAATTTATTTGATTAAATCATGTTTATATATGATTATTTTAAAAGTATGAATTATTATATATTTTTAATTTTGGATTATTGGATTTTATTTGTATATGTAGGTGTTTTATATATATTTAAAAATCAATGTATAGTTGGAACTGTGACCCAAGGGGATTAATTTGGGTTTTTATATTTTCTGGAATTTTTCTGTATTTTTCAGAATATTTTTAGAATTTGTTTTGTAATTTTTTTTTTTTTTTTTTATATATTCTGGAATTTATTTTAGAATTATTTTTATTAAATTTTAAATTAATTCTATGCACTCTGTGTGAATCGGTGCATAAACCAAGAGATGGATTCAGTGTTTCGAGGTATGATCTAGTGTGGTAGTATGCATGGTAAGAGGTTACATCACTAATCTGGGCCATTGGAATAGTTTAAATATTAGAATAATTCGGTGCATTACGGTGTACACAAAAGAGTGTGCATGTGAATCTGGACCATGGATTAGGTTTGGTCAATAGAAGATTGATCTGGTGTGGGTACATACATGTGAGCTCAAGTGAGCTAATCTGGTGTGGGTGCATTTGTGTGAGCTCAAGTGAGCCAATCCAGTGTGGGCGCGCTCACAGTAGTGTTTGAGCTCAGCCAATTATTTTGCCTGTTTGTGACATAAAATTAAAACGGTCATAACTTAGTCATCTTAAATCAAAATTGGGTCATTCTTAAGCTCAAATTCAAGGATTTTTCGTCCTCTTTCCAATGGTACTAATTTCATTATCAGATTCTGATTCTACTAGGACATTTTTATGTTTTAGTGAGACGGTGTCGGAAAACTATTTAAACCGATATGGAGTATTTAGGGGAAACTATTTCTGACATATTTAGTAGCATTAATTTGTGTAAATATAATAAATTAATAATTTGTTATGGAAGGAAGTGTATATATATATATATATATATATAATTATTTATATATGTGTATATATAGTTTAATTCGTTTATGAGTTGTAGGGAAGGATGAATCTATCTATATATATATATATATCATTTAAGATGATTAATATTATCATTCTTATTTGGTATATCTTGATAGGTTGATTATTAAATTAATAATATGCGTATAATATGCATGAGTTGGTTATGTATGATTTAGCGTATTCTTAAATTTAAAGTGATTCATGGTCAAAGTGTAGGCATTGATGAATTGCCAAAGGATTAAAAATATTACCTAAATATTTGTATGAATATAATACATACATGGGAAGCATGGATGAGTTGCTGATTAAATGTATGAATAAATATACATAAAATATTTGTATGAATAGAATACATACATGGGAAGCATGGTTGAATTGCCAAAGTATAAATAATTATACTTAAGGAGGCATGGTTGAGTTACCAATATATAAATAAATATTTTATAAGGGTATGGTTGATTTGCCAAAGCGTAATTAAATTGCTATGTGCTAGATGATTAAAATTCCATCTAGGGTTATTGTGTGTATCAGTTGAATTAGGAGTACATTAGAATAATCTAGTGCTTAAAGGTTAGTATATTATTTTATGTATAGCAATAAAATAATACTGGGAGAGACATGGATGATTTGTCAAAGCCTAGATATTGGCTGTGTGATTTAGTGAATAAAAATCATTATCGGGATTTGAAATTTAATATAATTTTCCTTTTATTATAATTGATTGTTTAAATGATTAAACAATTGACTATAATGGAATTATGGTCAATGGAGTTTCTTTTTAAAAGAAATATGAATTGTGGATTGGTTTAGGAATGATTGTTAATTTAATCATTGTTTAATAGTTTTGAATTTAATGAACCTAGTAATAGATATGACTAATGTAGTATATAAAATTATGTATATATGCATATCATGGTGCATTAAAGATAAAAGCTTTATTAGGATTGGATTTGGTCAGAAATGATCTTTTTATTGGTTTTCAGAGACCAAGTAGAGAGAGCTTGCTCGTAAGGTTTAACTCACGATTTGTTTTTCAGGTTATTAAAAGTTCAAGTCTCAAAGTTAAGGATCCGCAGCTGGAGGACTTATCCATTCTTTCTTCTTATTTCAATATATGATATTTTCTTATTGTTAGATGATAGACTTAATTTAAAGTTCACTGGATTAGTGGATTATGTTTAGGGGTCCTTGATTTACGGGATTCCCGAGTTGTAACCTTTGGAGAATTATTAATGAAAATTTATTATTTAATAGATTTTCGTTCAGCGAGTTATTTATTCTTTTTATTTTCTTTTTGTACTCTGTGCTTGTTTGAAATACTTTAATTGTTTTGATATCCCTTAATTTTGTGCATAGATTTGATCAACCCGTGTTCCGAAATTAGGGGTATCACATTTATGAAATCCTCATGAAATATAAATTTGTAACTCTTCAAATATCCTTTCAACTTGGTTGCGAATTGAGCTGTTTTGACACTCAAGGAAAGAAATACAAACAGATAACCAAACCGGGTTCAAGATACCAATTTTGGAGAAAGTTTTCTAGTTGGAGAAGGATTCTTCCTTTTCTTCTTATTTCCATTCTCATCAACATTATAACGACCCAACCATCGTCAATAATGAAAGCATTCAAAAGAACTCATCTCCATCCTATTTATTCAAGAGTAACAATATAAGTTCTTATATGATTCAATGGCCATTTGCAAAATAGTCTAAGTTATATAAAAAATACTACAATGAATTATAGTTGCAATTACAAGGCCACAAGTTACAATTTTAAACATCTCATGTTAATGCTTTTAAAAAATATGGGATTTAATTACAAAAGATAGCAAAAATAACCTTCTACTCCCATCTAAGCCTGTGATGGAACATCGTCCATCACTTCCTTCCCGTGTCCTGAAAATAATAAAGAAGGGGTGAGTATAATGGCTATGTAGGAGGTGCCTAAGACACACCTCTTAATGACACCATGAATCTAAACAAAGCATATAATAAGGGAAGACAGGATCATGCAATTTTGGGAGACAACGTAAATAACTACGAAATCAACTAAATCATAGATAAGTCATGCCATGCCAATGGAATGCAATGATATGCCAATGTCGCTCCCCGTTCCCAAAACTTTT